GTTGGCTAGGGGCTTGTCAATTTTATTTAGTCTTTCAGAGAACCAACTCTTTGATTCATTGATTTTTTTAAGATTTTTTTTTAGTCTCTATTGCATTGATTTCTGCTCTGATTTTTATAATTTCTCCTCTTCTTTTGGCTTTGTGCTTGACTTGCTCTTCTTTTTCTACATGTTTGAGGTGTAACATCAGGTTATTTATTTGCATTCGTTCTGTTTTCCTGATGTTTGAACTCAGTGCAATAAATTTTCCTCTGAGGACAGCTTTCATTGCATCCTACAGATTCAGTAAGTTGTATTTGTGTTTTCATTCGTTTGTAGGTATTTAATTACATGCTGTTTAGAATAGGGCTTACATCCAAGGTTGAAATATCAATTAGGCAGGGAATAGTGCCCCTAGAGTGGGAATACATACAGATTTATTGTTAATCTAAGAGCTTTCTTTTAAGTAGCCATCCATTGTCTCCTTTATGTCTTGTTGAGGGTAGGAGAGGGGCAGCAGCCTTGTTTTGGAACATCTGGCTTTCCCTGTATCCTCCCTGTTTGCTTCCCATCTTGTTTTGTTAATTGTTTTTTCAGGTGAAGATTAGCCAGGAAACTCAGTGAGGCCTTGCCTGTTTACAGGTCCCTTTCCCCTACATTTCTGCCTCTGGGATCTCAGTCCAGCTACTGTTGGGGAAGATGGGTAATGACTGATCTGGCTTCCTCGGGCTGAGTAGAGTCTGTGTTAGGAGGCAGCAGATGTAAATCTTTAGCAGAGAGGATTGTCCCATGGACCTTGGCAGAAGAAGTTTGGTACCTTTACTTTGGGTTTCCTCTGCATGTTATCTTGGAGTTTGGCAGCCTCTAGGTAAGAATAAATAAAGTTTACCAAGAAATTAAAGTACATATAACCAAAGCATGAATGCTAGAATGGAAAGGCTGATTGGGGCAGGATCCATTCTAGACATTGCTCTTAAGAGATTAGAATATCAGTTGTAACCAACCAGCTGTTAAACCTGTCTACAGATATAGCTGGAAACTTCCAATAAGGGTCAGTGATTGGAACCCACTTTCTGCATCAAACCTATATTGCTATCACTTTTGTGTATCTTTGATAATACTCCTCTTTCAGGTGTTCAAAACCAAGTTAAAGTGAGACCTGTGTAACCAATGGGAATTTGTAGAAGATAATCTCTTTTACTGAAAAGAAAGTTTATTTTACACCCTTGAATGGTAATATTTTTAAAGCACTTATTTTTCCAGTACCCCTTGGAAAACCCTTTCTTTTTATTCTGCCCTCTGTGGTAATGGTGAGACTAATATCATTCTAATTGGTGTCCCTCTTTTTTTTTTTTTTAAGCCTGGTGATTTTCAGATGGTTTATTATCTGTAGGATTCTGCAGCTTGACTATAATGTGTCTTCCTGTAATTTATTCTTTGTCTTACTTGAGATTTAGTTTTCCTCTTCAGTCAATTTGTATCTTTTGTGACTTCTGAGAACTTTTTAGATGATAACTGTTTAGATGTTGTCTCTTGCTTTTTTCTCCATGTATTTTTAACATTTTCTTTTTATTTTCTGTGTCCATTATATGTTCTTTCATATTTTTGCTTCATTTTATAGTTTCACTTTTCCAGTCTGTAGTTTCACTGTCATTTTTCTTCTGTGATAGGGCATTGGGGTTCTAATTTTATTGACTCTCAGTTTTTATTTCTGGAAGTTTTGTCTGGTTGGTTTACATGTCTACCTGTTGTCTTACTCTTAGCACCATAGCCTTTCTTTGAGTTTATGCTTTTCTTTTTCTTTTTTTTTTTTTTTTTTATTTTTTTTTATCGGTACCAGGAATCGAACTTACGACTGCCTGCTTGCAAGGCAGGCACTTATGCCGCTGAGCTAAATCCTCAGCCCTCGAGTTTATGCTTTTCACCCTCGTGCTTCTTGTTTCTGTTGTCTGAAATCTGGAATAATGGTCTCAGTGCATCTGTTTTGCCTGCTGACTTTTGCTCATGAAAATTTTATGGTTTTGATTGGGAAGGTTTTTGTTTCCCCTCTCTTGAGTCTTCTGAAGCCTTAATTACAGAGATGGTGTTTTAAATAGTATGATTTTCTTCTGTGAGGTACTATATAGAGGTCTAGGCTACAGAATTCATGTGTTAATTGATGCATTAGTCAGGGTTTTACTAGAGCAAACAGATATAACACAAGATAATACAAATGTATAAGAAATTACAAGATTGGCTTATGATGATTAGTCAGAGTAAGATGAGGAAGCATGCAGAGGGTGTCTGCAAGCCAGAGGCTGAAAGATTCAAACAAAGGTCTGGCGTTCACTACAGTGTCTTGTGCAAGTCTATATCAGCAGGCTGATGGATCTGCATCAGAAGGCTGAAGAATCTATGCCAGAGTCTGAAGGATCCAAGGCAGAAGCTGAAGAGTCTGTGCTAAAAGTCAGGAGGTGATATCCAAGCCAAAGGCAAAGACTGAAGCTCCAAATAACTGAACCTCATCCCTCCGTCATCTTTCCCTCTTATACCATACAGGAGATGAGCCACCCTAGGGTGCAGAACTGGTAAACTGATTTAGTTAAGCTTCTAAATGTCTCCGGTTGATACAGTTAACTACTACAATCCACCCCTTGTCAACTTGATAACTAGACAAATTTCTTTAAACCAGTCTCCAGATACAAAGGCATGCATATAATTGTGTGTCTCAATTACTTTTCTCTCATTGCTGAGAAAAAATACTTGACACCCAAAATGAATAAAGGAAACGAAGTTTGTGGAGATTTCAGTCCATAATCAGCTGACTCTAAGGTAGAGTGGCACATGGCAACACTTCATGGCAATGGGAAACAGCACAAGCAACCAGAGCAAAAATGGAGGAGCGCAGAAAGAAGACTCTTTCCCTTATATTGTATGTAGGCCACATTCACTTGGGTGTGGCTCCCGAGTGCATAATCCTAGCATTGGACTATGAGTCATTCACAGAGTCTAGAAACACCCCCACCATTGACTGCATGAAGCTTTGGGAGACATCCAGACTCAGACCATAACAGTCACCCAGTATGACATTTCTGGTAGCCTGGATGAGTCATAGGTGGGAGACTGGTCATCTCATTGGAAGCTATTTTTCTTCTCTGCTCTAAGTGATAAACAGAAATTGTTTCCCTGAATTGTATCATGCCTCATTGCTGGCAGCTTACGGGCTTGGATGTATGTGTTCTTAGTAGTTTATTTTATATGTGCATTACAGTTTTATACAATGGCCTTGATTCTCATTGTAGCAATACTATGTTAAGGTTAGACTGGTCTGTCCAGGGTTTTGTTTTTCTAATTTTTTTGTTAAAGTGGGCCTGTAGCCCCTCCATATTTAGGTAGGATTTAGGACACTTCAGGAGTGTTCTAACCCAGTAACATAACAGATTCAGAATCACAGTGGTTTAAGCTACTAGGTGATCATGGATTTTTTTTTTTTTTTTTTTTTTGTCTTTTTCCTTTTTATCGGTACTGGGGATCGAACTCACGACTGCCTGCTTGTAAGGCAGGCACTTATGCCACTGAGCTAAATCTCCAGCCCCGACCCTGGATTTTAAGGAAGTGCTTGAAGGCCTTAGGAAAAAGACAGGAAATGTTTAGAGGGTGCCTTTTATGTTCTATGCACCATTGTAATGACAATTAACTTGAGATGCTTCCCTGACTTCATAGATGAAAAAAGTGATCACAGAGATCAGGTGATATTTGTAAGCATCCAAAGTTATTATTACCCAAAATGCAGATGGTGTTTGTTTCACAGTTCTATAGATCATTTTCTCTTCAGTGAGTCTTCCTGCCTTTTATGTGAATCAGTCTGCTTATATGAATTTACTTCATGTTGTCTTTCTTCTTTTTCCCTGATTTTCTAGCATTTTGCATTGCAGTTTTCATATTGAAAATTGTCTGTGGAAACTTTCTTAGACATTTCTGGCTGTATAAAGCATACTTTATAGAGAGACCTAGTACACAGCCTACTGTATTCTCAACTTCTGAAAGAAAACTGAAACCAGTGTTTCTTGGCACATTCTTTACCTAGCCATATGCACATGATAGCTTGCGTGTCTTCTGTTCCCTTCCAGTCTGTCTTGTTTCCTTTTGTTAGAATAAGCTAGTTGTTACTGAATGACCTGCCCTGACAGCTCCTCTGGCTCATGTTTCTGAAGCATGGCTGTGGCTTGGGTGTGTGTCTGCAGAGAATAGAGCACTCTGTTCAGGAGCTCATCCTCCTGTTCCAGCCATGCTCAACCCTGGCTCTTATGTAACTTGCCATCTTAATTGTCTTTTTTTTTTTCCAGGAGGTGGAGATACTATTAAATATCATTTCAGAAATTGGAAGTATACTTCTTTAATGACTTCTTAAGCCACATTTATTTTTAAACCACTTACCTTATAAGATCATAAGGTTGCTCTGTCTATTCTTGCCTTTAATCTTGTTCCCTGTATACTTACTTCTTGTTTGTCTTATTCCATATTTTTTCTTGTAAGATTTATTTTTACCTGTTTCTTTCTTAAGAACATCTTAAAACTAAAGAAAAAGTTTTGCCATTTATTCCTCTTAGAATTGTAGCTCATGTTTCTTTTTTGTTTAAGGAGTACTTATTTTTTTTAAATTAGTACCATTTGTTTAAGGATAACTTACTTGAGACTAATGGGAAGACACTGATTTTTAATGTACCATTCTCTAATTTTATTTGAGGGAGGGGTAGATGGTACTGGGGTTGAACCCAAGACCCTCCCACTGAAATACATCCCTAGTTTTTTTTTTTTTTTTTTCCTTTTTGAGTCTGGTCTTGCTGAGTTGCCCAGGCTGGATTTGTGACCTGCCTAACTTAGCATCCCAGAATGCTGGGATTATAGGCAGGCACCACAACATCTGGTTTTTAATTTTACTTTTGAAAAACAAAACAATAGGTTAGAATGGAAATAAGGTAAGAAGATAGCACATGACATGAATGTGTGTTAAAGCATACTGCTCTTTGTCTCCTTACCAGCCCTCCAAGCCACAAGATTGTGGTGAATGGGAAAGAATGTATAAACTTTGCCTCCTTTAATTTTCTTGGATTGCTAGATAACCCTCGGGTTAAGGTAAGTAGCACATAGCACTGACAAGGGTAAGCACTGCTTAGTAAAGAATCAAGTCATAAAGTTAAAAGACAAATGTGGACTGTCAGAGCAAGCTCTGTTGTTTCCCATTACTGCCTGACAGACTTGGAACCTGGAATTAAACAAGACCAGAGTGCCTAATGAGGCTCAGTATTTGGGTGATAAGACAACCCCAGTAAGCAAGACTTGGTAATACAGAAGTGTCTAGAAAATTGCCCACATTCTTTTGGGATTGTGGACCAGCAAACATTTTTTGTGAAAGACATGACCACAGATGCAAAAATTATAAAACTATTGAGCTAATCAGGTGATGAGAATCAAGCTAGTGTAACTTTTCTACATTTTAAATCAAATACCTGAATCTTTACATTTTGTTTTTCTTATATCCTGTTAGAATTGTGATAGTGTAAGGAATAAAAGAAAATGTGGGAGGGAAGGACAAAGGAGAAAAAAGAAGTGCAGGTTAAAGAGTAGGAAATCTTTATGCTCTTACAAATTATTAAAATATAACTGCTTTTTCACTTAAGGCAGCAGCTTTAGCATCTCTAAAGAAGTATGGTGTGGGGACCTGTGGACCTAGAGGCTTTTATGGGACATTTGGTAAGTTGAATTCTTTTCCAATTACTACTTTCAGGGGGAAAGATTGATTTGATTTTAAAGCCCCTTGAAATACATATCCTTAATCAGTAATGTGTGCAGTCTCTTACCTTTTATTTTAGGGCTTGGAAGCTCTGGTGGAAAATGCATGGGTCTGGGTTTGTAGGGTAGAGAGTTCACTATAGATGCCTTGGGATATGGTTTATTGGCTGCTATTGCATCTGCCCCCAAGTCTGGAAATTGTCATGCATGACAGCAATCAGGTGATCCAGGCAGCTGTAGGTGCTGTTCTCTTCAAGTTTTGCACAAATCCAAGCCTTCCTTGTCTCATTGTTGAAGTGTCTGAGGGTACAGTACCACCCTTGCTTATGTGCCAGACACCAGGTCACAATGTGGAGGGCAGAAATACAGGGAGCAGTACGCTTTGCACAGAAGAGGTGGCCTTACCCATCGTTTCTACCCACTGTCCCTGGTAAGGACTAATATTGGGCCATACTAGCCAGAGTCAGCTGGGAGAGTCCCAACTGCACAGCCATGTACCAGGAAGAAGAATGAGAACCATTTTGTTATGGAAGGGTGATAAATTAATGTAGCTCTTTCTGAATGTAGACAAATGGTTACCGAGGTATTTGTGTGTGAATGGCCCTAGGACAGGCTAAATGATAGCAGATAGCATGAACTCCTTGCCTCAGAGAAGCTGGATGGTTATTTTTATTAAGTGTATGTTGTTCTTTGCTTCTAAAATATCATTAAATAATTGTTCAAAGGCTATATTACTATAAATAGCATTCTGGCTTTTAAAATGTCCAACTATGAGGAAAGCAGAAGAGGGAACTATCTTCTGTCTCTTCTTTTTCATTTCTGAATCTTTTGGTTTTTAAAGTTTAACATGTTTTTATATCATGAATTCTTGTTCCTTAGTTTGGGATTATACTATTTCATGTTGGAAACGCATGAGGAAGATTAGTACCCAAGAATCTTATAGCTGAAAGGGATGTCAGAAATCTTGTGTTCCATCATCTCAGCTACTCAGACTAGGAAGTGAAAGTCCAGGGAAGTTAGTGTTTTACTCATTAAACCCACCATCCCGACTGTCAGTCTTGATGGCAAGAACAAAGGACTGAGCTTGGATCAGAACCTCCCACTTTCCTCTGTGCTAATCATTTGCTTGGTTTTTATTAGAAGGAAATGATTTCCTTGCCAGAGTACTAGAAAACTAGTACTTTATGAGGTTTCTGGTAGTCAGTCATCTGCTTAACAAGGCTTTCTTTCTATGACTGTTTACTGGGATGAAAAACTTGCTTTCTTTTTTTTTTGGTATTGACGGTCGAACTCATGACCTCACACATCCCAGGCAGGCGCTTGTGCCACTGAGCTAAATCCCCAGACCCTAAAACTTGCTTTCTTAAAGCCTCTTTTTCTTGTGGTTTTATTTGCATGTGTAACCTTGACCCTAAGAGTCAAGCTGGGAAGATAGATGAGAGGCATAGTCCCAAATCAAACTGGATGAGAGGCATAGTCCCAAATCAAACTGGAAAGAGAGTATTTCAAGTCTTTAAAACCAGTTTTCTTAAAGTTGTGAAATATGTGTTATGTAGCTCTGTCTGCTTTCCTTTTAGGGAATCTGTACCTTAGCATACTAGGTACTTTGAAATATAGAAGTCTTTAAATTAATAGCTGTTTAGTCATTTTTCTCGATGGAGTAATTCAGTACAGGACATGAACTTCGAAATAGAAGATTCAGATAGATGTGAAATGTCTTCAAACCCTTCAGCCTATCCTGTCTACTCCACCTGGAACCTTCCCACAGAAAAACATGCTACTATATCAGCAGTTCCTTGTTAGTTCTTTTAGCTACTTTTCTTCAGCATATGCAGATCACTTCCATACATTTGTGTTATCCCTATTTTTGCAAAAATGATATATGAACATGTTTTTATTTTTTTACAGTTTTTTTTAATTTTGGTTTCGTTTGGTTTGATTTTTGTGGTATGAGGATCAAACTTAGAGTCTTGCACATTTATCACTGAGTTGTACCTCAGGCCAAACATGAATGTGTTTCAAATTTAAATTGGATTTAATCTTTCAAGTCTGAGTGGGCCACCAGAGAGAGGCAGTAGTGAATACATGGCTGGGTTGTATGATTTGTTTGTCACTGATTCATCCTTGTTCTAAAACTGTAGTTGAAAGTTCAGACAGACTTTAGTATATGAACCAAGTTGTGCTGGGACAGTTTTGTAAGGAGACACTGCACCTAAAGAAATGTGTGTTGTCCTGCAGGTAAACTCGTGACATTCCTTCTTTTTTTTTTTTTTTTTTTTTGTTCTTTTGTTTTAATTATCTTATCTTTTTAATTAAAAATGAGGTGAATCCTTTTGTGCTTCTGAGGTTTCCTTTTAAAATTCATGCCCATATTATTTGTTTAAATAACTATGGACAAACCGTAAGTCTGTACCAACTGAGCCCTAGCTCATCTTTCCCCAAGGGCAGCCCATTCTTGGTTCTTGTGTCATTCCTTCTTGACAGTTATGCAAACCCTTATTTACTTGCACACTTATGGTTTTCTAAGAGGGTTTTTTAAATCTAATACAGTAATTTGAATAATTATGTTTAATATTAACCTACCATGAAATTTTAACATTTGATTAAATCAGAGAAATTTTTTGAGTTCGTTAATAGTCTAAAATTTAAGTCTCTGAAATAGCCACCACAATTTAAATATAAGTAAAATGTATTTACCTGAACTGATTGTGAAGGTTCGGGGCTCGCCCAGGTACTACTAAAAAAAAAAAAAAAAAAAAAAAAAAAGATCAGTATTTTATTCTGTAAGGCAGAAAGTTTGCTTTTAATTTTGTCTTGTTTACCTTGAAATAATCACATTCAGTCTCTTTCTGCAAAGCCTGTTCCTTTTTAGCTGTTTTCTCACCTTTTCTGGTAATGAGCATAAGTCATTTGTGATAAAGTCAACTTTTTTATTGAAATACTTTTTCTTGCTGCTATTTTATAGTAACATAAGTTCAGTGGTCAACAGCTGAGTTAAAATTTTCTAGTTTTTTTAGGCGATGTACTCTTCTTCCTGGAGGCCTAGAACTAAACAAGTTCTCAAAATAGTGATCAATGCATGATGTCTGTATTTATAAATCCCATTAATATTGTAATTAATACGTTAATAATTAAAACTGAATAAAGAGTAACCTTTTTTTAAAAAAAAAGAAGGGAGGGAACTAGAATGTCTTTCTACCTACATTTGCAGGGATGTGTTTCAGAACTGAGTGAATGGTTTTGCCAAGTTTCAGTGCCTTCTCTCTAAAGCCTGGTCCAGTCTTTGTGCCTCTAGATAATGTTCCTGGTAAACTTGTTTTTGTTTCAATATTTGTTTTATTTTTCACCCCTTTAATCCCTCGTTGCTATGGTTTTTCCTAGTGTCAAGGAATCTGTTTAGCATGTGTAGTGTCTACATGGCTCTTTGGTCTTACACTAAATCAAAAGCTAGTTATGTGACAGGATTGCATGGTGAAAGGTGATGCACTGAGTTCCTTTACGGAGCCATTAGTAAACAGTTGTCCCTATGGGTGATTTTTTTTTTTTAAACCATCTGCTTTTGTTTTAGAACCGTCGGCCAAACCATAAATGCATGTTTTAGTAGGAAAAATATTTGGTCATAAAACTTTTAAATCTGCTGCTTCTTTTCTTCAGCAGGTCATGTGGTCACAGTTTCTCAGGTGTGGGATGGGAACAGTATGTGCTTGTACAACTTAAAAACATTTTGGTCTGAATCATATAATACCCCACATGTGAAAATATTCTGAATATTACATTTGTGTTGCAAATGCATAAGTGCTGTTATTTTTACTTCTAGGAAAAATTACCCATGTCTCGAAGGGTTTTTTTTTTTTAAAGAACAGTTTGTATACAAAAATAAGAAATTTAAAAGACAATATGGTAGGTTTATTGTTTCTAAACTATTATAAAATTGACTGTTTTATGGCCTTTCCTCCCAAAAAGAACCAAGAAAGCTAAAATCTTTCCTCATTATAAATGATAAGCTTGTTGTGTCCAGGGGATGGGTACCCGCTGCACCACTGTCCAAGGGCCTGCTGGGATTGTAAATTCAGCCCCAATAAAAAATTAGAGGGACAAAGTTTAATGAAAGGAAGACACTTTGTAAAAAAGAAAAGGAAAGAGGGGAAGGAGGGAGTCAGAGACTGTTTAGTTACTTTTGTCATTGCTTAGACAAAATCCTAGCACACAAAGTTAAAGGGGGAAATACTTATTTGGCTTACAGTTTATAGAGGTTTCAATATGTAGGTGGCTGGCTCCCAGGCAGGGTGGCATGGCAGAAGAGCATTGCAAAGTAGCAAAGAAGCAAAGCAGCAAGCTACAAGTGACCAGCAGTGACCTTATCTAGTATACCCACCCTTAAGATAGACATTTCCATTCCAGAGCATACAAAGAGAAAAGGAAGGAATGGGACCAAAGCAAGACCAAAATCCAGCAATAAATCAAAATAAAACATTGAATCCTGTAGTTCCATGTCCAGCTTCCCTGGCAATCTGTAATAAGTTGTGAACTCCAAAGGGTTTGTGTGACTCTGCTGTCTGCCACTTCTGATAGTGGTAACTCCCATGGCTTTTCTCTTGGGCCAGTTCTGCTCCTCTCTTGCAGCTTTCTTCGGATGATCCATGTTCCTGGCCTCTCCCCAAATTTTGGGGATCTCCACTGTACCTTTGGCTTCACACTCACAGCTTTACACACTGCCTTCTTAAGGAAACACTGCCTGATCTCCCAGACCTTCTTATAAAGTCTGGGTAGAAGCCTTCCTGAGTCCACAACTCTTAGATTCTGCGTGCTCCTAAAACCAGTGCTGTATAGATGATGCCAAGGTCTGCCACCAGATGGAGGAGTAGCCGAGCTTCCCTCTTTTGGTTGTAGGGATTACATGCCTATGAACCAAATCCAAAGGAACAACTTCCTAGGCTTCCACAGTTCTGGAACATGATGCTCTGGGGTGCTCTTCTCAAAGCAGTCTTTGACTTTTGCAATTTTGATGACGCAAAGGGTGGAGTTCTGCCTATTAATGTGATATCCTTAGGCTATCTTTCCTATTGTCTTTTCTGAAATTTGGCTTTTTCTTGCTAGTTTTCTCTTCTGTTCCATCTTTGCAGGATGCAACTTTACTGGAACTTACTTTCTGGCAAAACTCACATTTTAAATCACTCTGCTGGGCTCTTTGCTCTTGACTGTCAACATAGAAGCAGTTAATAACTCCCCAACAGTATCCAACCACCACCACATCATTCGATTGTTTTGAAACTTCTCCAAGATTAATCAGTCTACAGACCTTAACCTCAGTCTCAGGCAAAGTCTCTGGACATGGAGCAAAATGCAGCCAAACTTTCTGCCAGGGCATAACACATCACCTGGAGTCTAAAATCCAGTGGAGTCCTTCCCAGCAGGAACCTGAGCCTGATCTTTACCAGCTGTAGTTCTATAAGCCTTCTGGTCTTCTGAGCTCTGACCAGAATCTCCTATCAAGTGCAATTTAAGGCATCTCAGGGCTGCTTCTTTAGCCAGTTTCCCAAACTTCCTACCAGCCAGCTTTAAAGGATCTTGAACAATGATATAGCAGCAATGATGCTGCTTCTCTGGTGTCAAATTCTATCTTAGTTACTTTTCTTGTTGCTGAGACAAAATACCTTAGTGGCTAGACCTCTTTTCTCCATTTCTGACAGAGCCAGGTGGGTAAGCAACTCTGACAAGAGTTCCAGGAGAACTTTTGAGTCTGCAGAGGTTTTCTGAGGTATCTCTGCCACTGTGATTTGAAAATGAGTTTTATTCCCTGCATAGTGACAGTACCAGTTGCTGAAGTGAATCTATACACAGAAGATATAAGATAATTTTCCTCCCTGCTGCTTCCTCTCTCTTGTATTGAAAATTTCTTCATTGTACAAAGTGGCTGTAAGAGAACCAAGTTCTGAAGTTCCTTATAGTTACATATCACAGAACCTGCTGTACAAAGCTGCTCCACCAAAACCTGATGTCTTCAGACAGAAGGAGGGATGAGGATTCTGAAACTTTTGAGATAAGAATCAGTAATCTCTACACAATAAATCAGAATCAGTATGTCACTGATTTATTGTGTAGATTTTTCTTGCCACTTTATGGCAATTTATATTCACGGGGATGAGAGGAATATTATTAACATAACCTACTCACTCTGGACCCTAAAATACAGCCATATTCACTTTATAGCCTCATTATTCATCAGTAGAAAGTCATTTTGAGATAAGAAGCCTACAGAGTGATTTAAAATCCATCGTACCTTCAGTGAAAATAGTGTCTATGTTATGGCATGCTTCCCTTTTTGAAAGGAAGATCTCAGATGAGAGCAGTTTGGCATGGCCGGTTGTCCATCTGCTGAATGGCTTGTGAGTGTGGTAGACACTCCCACATCGATGCAGTGTGGTAGTACTTTGACGGAAGTTCCATACCCAGGATTCAGTGGGGTGTGAAAGGTGACTGGATTTGTGTCAGATTAACCTGTATCTTGTTGGCTTTCCACTTTCTGGCAAGAGTTTGCCTGAAAGCTTTCATTGATAACATCTTCCTTTCCTAAATGCGAGCAGTCCAGTGGCTTGGCTTTGCATATTGTGAATGTCAGTTTCAACACTGAAGTGCATTCTAAACTTGCTGGTATAAAATCCCACACTTACTTAATGTTGACATAATGTAAAGTGTCCAGTCTGTAGAATGACTGTTACCAATTGGTAATGGAAATTAAATGATGCTTCATATGCTGCTTTTATGTTTATGGGCTATTTTGTAGAATTGCAATTAGTAAATTGGAAGAAACAGTGCAATATATTTTACTACTTGTATTAGTCAGCTATTTTTGTTGCTGAGACACTTTTCACAACATCCATAACTTAAAGGAAGAGAGATTTAATTTGATTCATGGTTTCTTGGGTTCAGTCCATAATCAGCTGGCTCCAAGGCAGAAATGTTAGGGTGGAAGGGTGTGGCCATCACATACACTTGAGTTCCCTCCAGGAGGCACAACACTACTCTCTCTTCTACTGTCTCAGAATCTGCTTTCATGACTTTTGCTCCTCTCCTTTCTCCCTCAGAACTCTTGAACTGGCAAAACCTGGCTTCTTTCTGTGTGGGAAGTGTCCCTTGCAGAGAGCACAGTGTACTCTGTGCTCCAGCCTTCCAGTCCTGGGTCCTACTGTAGTTAAAAGAGCTAATGAGATGTTTAAAAGTCTATTTCTATCCTCCCTAATGTCTCATTTTAACACATTCATGATGGAGCCAGAAATCATATGTGTCACTACCCAGCAGCTTGAACTATTGGTGGCACATGTGTGACTAACCCATTGGGTGGCTCTTTGTTAATTTTATTAGTAGAAATAACTAATAAAAGTGATTAGATTCATTTGTATCACCACTAGTAAAAGCTGCCTCATACCACAGTCATGTGTCTACCACTGGTGGCTCAAGCCTGTAGAATAAGTTAAACTACTTTTAAGTTTTAAGATTCAAAGCGAGTAGTGGTCTGTTCACTCTAAGCATTGCTTGTCCTTCCATCCCAAAGCATAGACTCTTCTGGGTTATCCTAGGAGGGAAAAGACTCTAAGGAACCATAATTTAAGAGGGAGGTAAAAACATGTAATTTATAATTATAACTTATCACCATTATTACATAAAGGTCCTTAAGCTGAATTAGTATGCTCATAAGACATTCATACAGAAGCCCTATCCTACACAGGATGTCAGTTATCACAACTAAGAGCCAGTGTGGGAACAGGTCACTGTCAAGCTGTTTAAAATGCAAAAAGCTGTTGCTTTGTTGATATGTGGGGCACTGGTAAAGCTCCAGCATTTTCAGTCAAGGGAATTTAAAATAAATGAAAGCAGTGGGTGAGGAGAGTTTACATAAGTATAAGCACCAAACTGACAGACCAGTAGCAGATTTCAGATTTCAGTTCATCTGGTTCCAAAGAGCTTCTGATTCAGAATTATTTTAATACTGTAGGTGTTTTATAGTTTATTATTTTAAAACAATTACATTTTAGCTATCAGGTTAAAGTGTTAATAATTAAACTATCACATTCCTTTCCTTTTTTTTTTAGTCATACAAAAAGAAGAATTATAGGATGATTTAACTGTTTGACATTTTTGTTGAAATAGATGTTCATTTGGATTTGGAAGAGCGCTTGGCGAAATTTATGAAGACTGAAGAAGCCATTATATACTCATATGGCTTTTCCACCATAGCCAGTGCAATTCCTGCTTACTCTAAAAGAGGGGACATCATATTTGTGTAAGTAACCTTTATCACCTATTATATGCCTAAAATAATACGAATTCTTCAGTTTATTATTAACAAAATGTTTGATCATTGCAGCCAAAGTCAAATGTGAGGAAACTTAAAGATATCTGTAATTGCTTATCTGCAGCTATGTTTTTATTTACTGATGTCCACATGAGGCCTGCCGTCTTCTTACACTGTTCAACACTGACCACGTGTCCGTATGATTCAGTGATCATAATCTCTGATTACTTACCCTGCTTCATAAAGTCTTTCACTTCTCATAAGCCACCTACTCCAAACTTTAACTCTCTGCTGATCGTACTTCATAGTTTACTAAGAACATAGTAGCTGTGAATTGGGAATATTCTTGACTAGCCACAGGTAAATCTACAAATGTGGGTGCCTGTATCCTGGATGCAAGGTACTGCAGCTTTCTGTGAAAGTGGCAGGCCAGTGAGGAGCCATGCACGCATTAGTGTGGTCCTGGCATCCAGTTATACCAGTCAGAATATCTGCTGCTCCAGCCCAAGCCTCTGGCATCTTGAGTTAGCTATTAAGTGTGACTTTTTCCTTTTAGGCCCCAAGTTTACTTTATATTTTTTCCTTTTCTAATACTATAGCCAGAATAATCTTTTTTTAAAATGTGAATCTGATTGTCACATCCCACTTAATAAATACAGGATTTTGCATTATCTGCAGTGAAGACTTAAGACCTCATCATGAATTCTGAACTGCCTTTTTAGTCTCTTTTTGAAGTACTCGCCCGTTTGTGGGCAACATGTTGCCTCACTAGCTTTGTACACTAGTTTGCTCTCATCTCAGAGACTTTGAGCATGCCAACCCCTTGGCATAGAACACTGCTCCTCCTCTCATCTCCTGCTTTGCACTAATCCCACACATGCGTCACCTCTACAGGGACGCCTTCCCAGCCTCTGAGCAGTTGAAGGTCCTTGCCACATGGGAAGAAAATCTTAAAACTCAGGCAATTTAGCATCCTAGGAAACGCTTGCTCACATAGAGCACTCTGACTGCCTGTCAAGGTTCTTTTGCCTAAGAGACACAGACACACACATACACCTATCCTGTTTATTCGCTTCAGATTCACTTTACTTTTTTCTTTTTGTAGCACTTATAACAGTTTACATCCCTGTGCTTATGGACTTCTGTTTCTTGCCACAGTCCTATGTGCATAAGTCAGCATTTATCATTTGGTTATGTTTGTTAAATACTAGTGTGGTGAATAAAAGAATGGAAGCTAGCCAGGCGTGGTGTTACACGCATGTAATCCCAGCATTTAGAAGGCTGAAACAGGGATCATTGTGAGTTTGAGAGCAGCCTGGACTACAAAGTGAGTTCAGAGCCAGCCTGCGCTGCCTAATGAGATCATGTCTCAAAAAGACGAAAACAAAAAAACAAAGAATGGAGGCTGGAGTTACTCCATTGGCCTTCGTCTCTGTCCAGTAATAACTCAGGAAATGAGCAAAATAGTTTTTTGTGGGGTAGGGGATTGTTACTGGTTTTTTTGCTTATTTGTTTGTTTTGCCAGCATGTAATACACATGGTTTCTAATCCAGTTCCCAGTGAAGTCCTTGTTCCTAACTGAAACCTCCTGAACCTGGCCTTTATTATCTACATTTCTGTCAACATTCCAGTCTTCTCTGCTCTAACGAAAATCACTCATCTTGCTCTGCTGTAGCCTACATCTCTAAACCTTTCTGAATTTCTCCCACAATCCAGTTCTAACAGCTTCTGAACCACATGTGCAGGTATAGTTATAGCGATGAACCCATCCTCAGTACCAGTTTTCTGTGTTAGCTTTCCTATCCTTGAGATACAGTAACATGTTTAAAAAAAGAGGCTTAATTTGGCTGAGTTTGTGAGGATTTAGTCCATGATCAGCTGGCTACAGGGCAGAAAAATCATGGTAGTAGGAATAGGTAGCAGGGCAAAGATACTCAGTTTATCTTAGTTCATAGAGCTGGAAAGCAGAGCTGGGGCAACATCATAGGGGAAGGAAAGAAGTGACCAGATATCATACCCAAGATCGTACCTCCATGACCCACCCAGACATACCTAGAAGTGTGCTTTACTGATCCACTTGGCAGCTTCCAAGCCAATAAGCTTCACACAATTAAGTATAACACTTTCAGATTATACATGTGAGTGAGCTGGTATAGTATTTGTCTTTCTTTGCTGGCTCATTTTACTTGACATAGTGATCTCCATAATTCTGATTTCCTTTTGCGATAGTGACCCCTTTATCATTGTATAATGACCTTTCTTGTCTCCTTTTACCTCCTTTGATTTGAATGAAGTGCTTGTTCATCACTAGATCTAAGAAGTATGGCTATACCTACTTTCTTTTAGATTCCTTTGACATGGAATTTCGTATTTCATCCCTTCGCTTTTAGTCTGTATGTGTAATTAGAGGTAAAGTAAGTTTTTGTAAGCATAATATAGTTGCATCTTTAATATATATTGTTGCTGTTTTTTAATTGGAAAATTTAATCCATGTATATTCATGGTAATTATCAGTAGATGAGATTTAATTGTGGCCATTTTGCAACTCATTTTCTAGGTTTGGTTTGATTTTATTTTTGTAGTTCCTTTCCTTTTTCTCACTCTCTTACAGTCTTTCTTTATAGTTAAATGGTTTACTCTACTACTGTGTTTTGATTACTTGCCTGTGCTTTGGGTTTGTCTACTGTAGATTTTGTTTTGCAGTTACCATACAGCTTGTAAAATCATCTTTTGTTTATAAAAAGCTATTTTTAAATAACAGCAACTTAAAACATAATTATAAAACTGAGAAAATATACAAATAAGAAAACTACAGTTTCACTGTTCCTGACATTTAAAATGTTTCATAGCAAAGTCCACGTTTGCTAAGTCTGCTGGTCTGTGTCCCTGTTTGTGTACTACAGGGCAATCCAAGCCTAAGTTTGTACCAAATCGTAGTGAGTGTGTTGTTCAGAACAAACCAAGAGAGGTACCAGAAAGGGCAGTCCATCTCTACAGGTCTCTATCCTCAGCCAGACTGGATCCACACACTATCTATAGTCACGCCAGGGTTTTCCAGTCCCAGGACCCTGCTCACCTCTGTTCACAACCAAGGAGGAGCTTATTCTTTCCTGCTAAGAAAGGACAGTCTTAGTTTTCCCCTAGGCCTCCTCTGACACCACCCAACTAGAGATGAGGAAGGCACCCCATTATGGCCTGTGGACAGGTAGAAGTTTGTGCTTCTCTCGTGGTCTCCACCAAACACCAGTGTTGGGGAAGTGGGTCTACTTATTTCCAGCTAGCTTTGTAAAAGTTCCAGCTCACTATAGTTGCTTTTTCTGACACCTGTCTGGAAAGAGTGCAGGTTGCCTTGGGTCTTATATTAAGCACCTCATGTGGTGGAGTGTAGGATCTGCTCTTGACCTCTGCTATTGCTGGTAAGTTTCAGACCAGTGTTTGCTATGGTGGTTGACCATGGTTGAGTGGTCTTAGAGTAAGTATGTGAGTAAACTGATAAGTCATCCATAGAATGATGCATCCTGATTTCAGAGAGGTTTCTGGCAAGAGGATGCTTCTTGGATTAGATTAAATACAGTCATGTGAAAAGGAACAGCAAAGTGAAGAGCAAACAGGATGCATAAACGTGCAAATATGTTTTGTTTGCTGTGCTCCGTTTAACAATTAGAGATTGGTCAGCTTACAAAAGTAACATTCCTTTTCTGAGAACGTTGACAAGGCTCTTTAACCTGTTTGATGTACCTTTTTCCCTTGCAGAGATAGAGCAGCCTGCTTTGCTATTCAGAAAGGATTACAGGCCTCACGTAGTGAAATTAAGTTATTTAATCATAATGATATGGCTGACCTGGAACAACTACTAAAAGAACAAGAAATTGAAGATCAAAAGGTAAGATTCTTTTGAAGGAAATAATAGAGCTCTTTTGTACTTTCTAAATAAAATTATACACAAAATAGTAATTTGTCATTGAGAACTTGTCCACAGATCACATTTGGGTATTAAGTAAGGATGTATTCCTGTTAGAGAGCCAAGTCTGATTGTAATTGCCTTCTTGTTGACATCATTACCTATGTTAGGTTTCAGGAGAGGATTCCAGCCAGCATCTAAGGGGATTGTGGGCAGAGACAAATAGGACACACTTGGTGAATAGGAAGATACATGCTCACCTTTACAAAATAGTTCCCAAACTCTAAGTGTTTTAACAGGCGATATCTAGTGAATTCATTTCATTGTAAATCAGGTAACAGTTACATGGAGGAGAGAACAGGAGAGGATCTTAATCTGTTAATTTATGAGCAAAGTGAGGTCCCATCTCCCTCACCAGGCCTCACCTGGACCTCTAACAACCACTGATTGTAGGAAACAAACAAATACCTTGAACAAGATCTCCTGTCTTGCAGCCACTTTCAGTTGTTAATAACTGCTTGGAGTTAATGAACTCCAAGACTTTGGAGCCTCTGGTGGTGGCAATGGTGGTGTTGGGTGGGTTGCAGCTCCTTTGTTCTGATTAGAGAATGGCTCTAAGGAAGTGCTTTCAAAGCATCACCATTAGGATTAACATTTGTTTCCCTGACAGGATGGGTAGAGAAGGTAGTTTGATCTGCTGCTCTGCAGCCGGACTCCGTGACACATGAACTGCCCCAGAGCTGGTCACCATGTTTTTTGTCTAGAATACCTGTTTCATCAGCACTCTGCTGATGCATCTCCTTTACAGCTAGAATGACCTATAAAAGTGCTCATCACATTCCTTAACTTTATGTTAATTTCCATTTTCTCAAGTGTTTGCATTATTCATTCAGGATTCTGTCATCTTTGTTTAGGAGTCAACTAAGAGCAGTACTTAATGGATTCACACATTCTCATGATGAGTATACATGAACTCACCATTTCATGCTCCATCTGTTGTAGCCAATGTTTTGTATTTATACAGTTTAGAAAAGTCTGCAGGGAAAAATTCTTATACTGAATCCATTCTACTAAAAACAGGTTTCCTTCTTGTGATTCACTAGTAGAACTTGGCAACTTAGCCTGGGAGTGGGTGGCTGTGGAGAGCGTGCCCACAGACCAGCTGCTGCAGGCAGCTGTGCATGGTTGAGGTTGTGCAGATTGGATAGCATCACATTCAAGTTTTGTGTATGTTTTATAAGATTTATAATCTATGAAACATTTTTATGGATACCAACAAGAAATAAATATCTTGAAATTTTACTTTCCTGCTTCATTCAAGTAGACTTTCTAAATAACTTTACATTTTGTCTTTTAGAAATAATCCCTTTATGGTTTCATCTGTTAACTCTTAATGTTTTCTACTTGGACACTTACCTCTTCGCTTTGAAAGAAAATTACAGTACTTTTATCTAGTTTTATATTGTGAGAGAACTATGCATAACTATATACAAGAGACAAAGAGCTTTGCTTTCCTAATAAATAAGGAAGTTAGACCAAAAAGTTTTCCATCAAATTAGGACACATTTTTAGTAGTACTAATCATTGTCAACACAGGTGTGCTATGGCAAAGGATATTCCTGTTACACTGGGAAGAGTTTAAATGATCATGTTTTTAGGATAAAATGGACATATATATGCTAGGAATCTTACGATACCCCTTTTGATTTATGCTTAAGGTATTGTCATTAGAAAAGAATTAGAAATGTTGAAGAATAGAAAGGTTGAAGAATATTCACAAAGAGAGAAACTACCCAAAGCCAGCATTAGAGGAATAAAAAATTTTTAGTATGCCCATAAGATACAATGTGTCCATTAATACCATGTTTTAAATTACTTCTGCTTGCCATGCATGCGGGCACACACCTGTAATCCTAGTACCTGGGAGGCTGAAGCAATAAGGATCACTGTGAGTTTGAGGCCAGCTGTGGCTACATGGTAAACTCAGGGCAGCCTGAACTACACAGTGAGACCCTGTCTCAAAAAGCAGGAAAAAAATTACTTGTGCTTCACTAATTAATGTAGAAATGTTCACATAATATTTTTTAAATCAACTTGTAAAATTATTACAGTAAGATATTGATTTGATATCTGTTTATACATATATATGTGTAAGAAAGACAAAATTATCACTACATGATATAACTGGACAATTTTTTAAATTCTTTTTTGTACTTTTCTGCTTCCTGAGACCCCTTCCTATAATTAATATTTTAAAATCCTAAGAAAATATTTTGGCTAGGGCATGGCTCAATGGTAGATTATTTACCTAGCTTGCATAACGCCCTAGGATCTATCCTAGCTCTGCAGAGAAGAAAAATAAGATAAACTAAGAAAATGCTTCACTTTTTAAAAGGTAGGGAAGTGCAGGCTTTGCCCTTGAGGATTTGAATGTGGCTTCTGTTTATTAATGACTCCATAGAGCCATGCTGCTGACTTGGGAGCTTTTGGTTTTGAGCTAACAGAGAATGTGAGTAGAGTAAACAAGCTTACTGATGTACACTCCATACACTTCAACAAATGCGCCTTGTTTGTGTTACATTGGAGGGTCCTAAAATATCCAGTTAAGCATTGCTCTCATGTGTGAGTTTCTGATTGTCTGTTGGAGCAGAAGTTTAGGGGAAGGAAGCCTTAAAGCAGGAAGGTAGTGATGAATTGTCCATAGACTTCAGTATTTTCTCACATGTAGCATCTATAGATCCTTGTGAGACAATTATCAGTGATCTGCTGTGAATATGGCCCTTTACCCCCCACCATGGCTATCACTGGGCAAAGTGATTGAGTTTTACCTAATAGCTCAGTAGGGAATAAGGAAGGAAAAAGAGTTTGACTGTATTTTAGTATGTGAGGGAGATCAGCATTTCCTGTTTTGTAACTTTTGATTATGGAAAATTGCTAGTACATACCAGGGAAAAACAGTAAGATGCAGCCCATATACACTTCCCACAGCATTGTTATCAGCATCCTACCAGACTCATACATCTGCAACCCCTCCCTGCTTCTCAACCCATCTCCATGATGATGATGACAACAATGGTGTTCTTCATTAAAGTTCTTTTTCTTTTAGGAAATATATGTAGACATTGAAATACGCTAATCTTAGCCGTACAATTTTAACCAGTGTAACCCAGAAATTAGTGCTTTATCATGATATGAAGTGTTCCCATCTATCCAGAGTTCTGTCTGATACAGTCTCACTCTTTCTAGGTTTGGAAAGTTTGTCTGTGCTTTCATATCATCTGAGCACCTGGCTTAGGTAATGCTGTGAACTGGAAAGTATGTCACTGTTCATCTCAGGATAATGTTGAGCTTTAAACTTTTTCAGACCTGTTTTTCATGACTATTGTGAAATGTAGGCATATATAATAGGTTTCATATTTGCAGTTACTGAAATATAAGATGTTGGATTCTTTTCTTTTAAAGAATCCTCGCAAGGCTCGTGTGACTCGACGGTTCATCATAGTAGAAGGATTGTATATGAATACCGGAAGTATTTGTCCTCTTCCAGAGTTGGTAAGCAACCATATTTAGTCATCATTCTAGTGTTTGGGCTCTTGGGCAGATAGACCTTTTACTTACTCACTTATTTATGGCCACAGTTAATGTGAGTATAAAACACACCTACTGTAAGTGCAGTTTGTTAAGTTTAACAGATCAGTAGCATCACAATCAGGACACCAAACACTGCTGTTACTCCAGATGATTCCTTCTTGCCTCTCTGTAGTTAACATACATCCCTGGCCCCAAGTAATGACCAATATCCTTTCTGTTCCCAAAGATTAGTTTCATCTTTGTAGAGTTTCACTTAAATGAAAGCAGATGTATTCCGTAAAAATCAGCGGTTTTACAGTGAAGCAGTGTACTGTTTTTAGAATCCATACTTTCCTCATCACTGTGAAATTCACATAGCATAGAATTAAGCATTCTGAAATGTGCAGGTCAGTGCCGTTGAGTATGTTTGCCATGTTATGCCTCTATAGAGTCTGCTAGTTTTACACTTTGCATATTCCTCTCCCATTAACTCCTGGCATCCACCAGTCTGCTTTCTATCTCTGTGGATATACCTAATCTTGATATTTCCTGTAAATGACATCACACAACATGAAACATTTTGAGTATGGCGTCATTCACTGGCATAATGCTTTCGGGGTTCATCTACATTTTACTGTGTATCTGGACTTCATTTCTTTTTAATGCTAAGATTCCATGGTATGCATATATTACATTATATTTGTTCATCTGCACATGGTATTTGGTGGTTTTTGTCTTTTGGCTATTGCAAATAATGCTCTTTGAACATGTATGTTTTTTACATATACCTAATACTGTAACTGCTGAGTCATATGGTAACCAAGCTTCCATCATATTGGTTTTGTTGTTGTTGTTGTTTTGTACCAAGGATCGAACTTGGACTGATGCTTGCCAGGCAGGCACTTAAACCACTGCACTAAATCCCCAGCTCTCATACTGTTTTTCATACCAACTGCACTATTTCATATTCCCATCAGCAGTGTAACAGTCCACTTTTTCCACCTTTCCTAACACTGAAAAGCTTTGATTTTGCAGTTTCAGATGGCTTTGCTAACACCAAATACAGCTGTATTTTTTTGAATATCCTGTCAGGTTAAGTTTCCTCCAGTTCCTAATTCTTTGGGTGTGAGAAGTTGTTAGAGTTTGTCAAATGCTTTTCCTTTGGCAGTGGAGAGAAGTGATTTTTTTCAGTTCATTTTCTCTGTTGAGCAACACTTAAATTTGGCCATTAAGATTGGAATCTAGGAATCCATTAATTGAATAAAGATTCAATATAAGGTCTTCATCTGTTATTTTTAACATTTTTCATTATTTGTGCTGTAGATGTAACTCAGCGGTAGAGTGTTGGTCTAGCACACACAAGGCCCTGCATTCAAAGCCTAACATTGGGAAAAAAAAGTATTTTTCTGTTCCTAAAGAAATCCAGATACATCCTAAATATTATTATAAGACACTTTTTTTCTATTTTCGTTACTGTAAAGACTGTAGGAAAATGTAAGGGAGATGGGGACCAAACTATCTTAGAACTGTGTTACAAGGCTGTAGTTATAAAGCATTGCAGATAGACATACATGATGAGGCAAAAAAATCTACTTAAATATATGTCACTGTTGTTTACGGGTTATTTGATGCAAGTTAACATTTGACTCTAGGATTCCACTGTTGTTTAACTAATTTCTGTTTCTTTGCTAGTATTGTTACTGTTTTCTAAAACACGATTTTTAAAAACCAGGGAAATACCTCATTAAGGAACAGGAAAGAGTCTTGTGGAGACATAATTCTCCCCAAATTAGTTCATTCATTGTTGAAAATCCAGCCAAAAGCCCATTGAGAATACCTCTGCTCATTTAATATTGAATAGCAGGACTAGCCAATAAAAAGTTGTTGGTTAAAAAAACAAATTATCAAGTTAGCATAGTGGTACACACCTGTGATTCCAGCACTCGGAAAGCTGAGTTTCTCTTAAGTTTGAAGCCAACCTGGGATATATATTGAGTTCAAGGCCAGCCTGAACTACAGAGTGAGAGACTGTTGGGAAACACACACACACACACACACACACACACACACACACACACGCAAATTATCAGAAACTTGTGATACAGGCTAGCGAATCATCTTATACTTTCTGTCCATTATTTCTATAGTTTTAGTGGAATAAAGATCTTAGTAATTCAACCTATGATTATTAAAAAGTATAGTTCTTGTATCAAGAAAGAATAGTTGAGTCAGAGGAAGACTTGAGAGTTCTAATGGTTCCCATATCATTTTCATAAAAATTTATTGCCTGACGATTGCTGTATTTCAATTCATTCATGAAACTGTACAAAACATACATGGATCAGTTAATCATGCATTAAGGAAAACATAACTCTACACACATGCATACATCAGTTTCTAATGGATTGTTGGATTTTTTTTAAATTCATAAAATAATTAGGGAAACATAAATATGTGTCTAAAACAATGGGAAATGACTTTATTATAACTTTGTCAACAAGGAGAAAAACAGGCTACCAAACCATCATTGCATGATAGTGAAAATGTTTCCTGCATTTAAAACACTTTAGCCAAGTGCCATGGCACACAACTGTGATCCCAGCGCTCTGGGAAACTGAGGGAGAAGGTCACAAGTTCAAGATCAGCCTGGGCAACTTAGACCCTGTCTCAAAGTTTTCAAAACTGCAAATGTAGCTTAATTCTACCAAAACAAATAAAACTGTGAATCTCAATTAAAATAGAGCCACTGAGAGAGGGCTAGATAGCTGCCTTCCCCAGGCATTTCCTGGGGTTTTGGGCATTAGTTGGGATTTAATCCAGGGCCTTGGCACCAATCTACATCCCTAACCTTTTTTATTTTTTATTTGGAGATAGATCTGGCTAAATTGCATAAGCTAGATTTGGACTCCACAACTTTTTCTACCAGCCTCACCCTACCAGAGTTCTGGAACTTAGGTATGCACCATTATGTCCAGTTTCCCAGGAGTTTTTATGTGTAGTCAGATCAATGTTCAACAGATACACTACAAGTCTGTACATATGAAAGTTTCAACATTGTCTTTTTTATTTGATTGATTGATTTTTTGTTTTGTTTTGTTTTGTTTTGTTTTTGAGACGGGGTCTCACTATCAAGTTCAGGCAAGCCTTGAGCTTATATGATAACCCAGTTTGGGTTTGAATTTTCAATGATCCTCCTGCTTCAGCCTTCTGAGTGCTGGGATTAACATTTCCTTTTCTTAAAAAATGACTTTGTATACTGTTACCAAGTTAAACTGAATCATGTTAGAAACCTGAAGTATGGTTGATCCTCACACTCAACATACTTTGTAAAGTTATCCTAGAACCAAGATAGGCAATCCTGAAATAGTGCTACTGGGGCAATTTCTGGTTTGGGTTTCTGTGGGCCTCTGGTCATATTTCTGTCAGCTAGTCAGTACATAACTTACTTTTTGGGTGATTCTGTTTAAAGATACTTTTTTCAGTACATACTGCTGATTCGTTCATACCAAACTTCTCCCCAAATGGAACTTCTTCAGTGTTTGTTCCTGAGGCATGGGTATCCTTTCACTAAGAAGCCCAGACAGCATTTCATCTGGGGCCATCTTAAGCAGCCAAGTTGCCAACAAAAAGCACAAAACTGTGAAAAACATGGCAATTTTATTCCATGAAAGGACCCTGGAAATGTGTGTGTCAGGAACTCAGCCCTGCACCACCACCGCTTGCACCAGGTCTGCTAACATTCTGTAGAGACAGAAGGTGGTTGACTGTAGGTTACGAATAAATTTTAGCAGGTAACTAAACTCACAGATAAAGAATTCAGGGTCAATTATATAAACTTTTTCAGGTTTAATTTTTTTCTTTAAATACATTCTATATACTGTTAATCATCAGGGTTTTAAAGTTGTGTTTTATTTCATACCTAGGTTAAGTTAAAATACAAATACAAGGCAAGAATCTTTCTGGAGGAAAGCCTTTCATTTGGAGTTCTTGGGGAGCATGGCCGAGGAGTCACTGAGCACTATGGGATCAATGTAAGTTTTCCTCATTGGAGAAGTATCTGCCCCTGCAGGAGATGTGGTTCTGTTCTGTTGACTGAATTTTCAGGGCCCAGAACAGCACCCTTTGGAGGATCATGACTTTGGTTCAGGTCACCTCACTAAATCCAGCACAGATCTGGCTAACCTGACCAAGGGATCCCGTCTTCCCCATGGAATTTATGTACTGTTTATGTAGGGTGTTTGGTTTTGACTTTTCATGTTTTGTTTTGTTTTTTTTTCTAAAACTAGTTCAATTTTTGCTACTATTTATTATTAAATATTAAAGTCATTTAGAATTAAAATCATTTAGAATTCTTTTAATAGTCTTGTGAAAAGTATTGATAATAGTGAAAGGATTCTTACATTTAAAATTCTATATTCCGTGTAATTTGTATGTGGAGGTAAGAAATAACAGTTAGGCCATGTATTGTGTGTCTGTATATGGGTGCCCAGAAACACATATGCACACCCACACGCACATACACACACACACACACACACCATGTTTGGTGTCAGAAAGTTCACTGACTTGGAGTCAGCAAAACCAAAGTACTCAGACAGTTGGAGTGAATTTGCCTTGTGTCCTTTTGTTGGAGAAAACAGACCGGAAGGGCCCAAGGACTAGTGGATTGCAGTCCTTGAAGCATGGCGCAGAGTAAATTCTGGCAGTCTAGGACATCTTGCCTTACCAACCACCATAGGGCAGTTTCAGAATGCTTTTTCACCAAAATGTGCACATTAAAATCTTTTAGTTACAAAGTGAACTTTAAAATATAAAATGCTCTTCAGTTATCTCCATCCCAGTACCCATACTGTCCTAGAGAAAAATGTAGCACAGAGTAAATGCCACATGCTTTAGCTAGAAGCACAGTTATCTAATTGACATTCAAAAGTTAAATTATTGCAAGCAAATTTAGCAGGACAGTAAAGCCATTTTAAGGCATGAAAATTGTTTAAAAAGGAAAAATATGAACTTTACTACTATGTTTTTCTAAATGCTGTATGAGCATTTGCCACTGAATAATATACATGACGATCTAAGAGAAAGACAGCAGCATGTAGAAACCTTACTCAGGTTCGACCTCAAGTAGATGTTACAGTTTTTCAGACAGGGATATTTGATCTATGGAACGCTTAGAAACACAGCAGAGATGACTCTAATGAACCCTTGTCACGGCCCTCAGAAAGTTTTTGCTGAATGTCTGCTGCGTACCCAGAAAGGTGCTAGGAGTTGGAATAAGATGATGACCAAAGGAGTGCTGAGGGGGTGAGATATAGAACTCAGAAATGTACAGGGCATGTCAGGTTTATCAGTGCCAGTTGGTCAAAAGTTCTGTTTCATGATGTTTGAATTTTTAAGTGAAAGGCAAGTTAAACATAGAAGTTAAAGTATTCAAAAACTGATTTTTTTCTGTCTTAAATACATTTTATGGTATAGGTGAACTAACTCACTGTTTTAGCAACTAAACAATATTACTTTGTACCTCCTGCTGTTTTTTTCTTTGAAATAGCTTTGGATTTCATCCCTCTTTGAATCCAGATGTGACTGGTATTATTTGCATTGAAATTATGTGTTTATGCTTCACATTGTCTTTTTTCCCTCTTTAATGCCAGGAATAATTAGTGCTGCCTCTTACTCTTCCTGCAGATTGATGACATTGATCTTATCAGTGCCAACATGGAGAATTCACTTGCTTCCATTGGCGGTTTCTGTTGTGGCAGATCTTTTGTAATTGACCACCAGGTAGGCCCTTTTCAGAAGCATGCAAAATCCGAAACTGATCCCTCCATTGGTCACCTCAGAATGTCACTTTAAAATAATAAGATTTTGTTATCAATTCATCATACATTTTTACTTAGAAATAGATTTTAAAACTATTCATTAGAGAAATGTAGATTAATACTGTGACTCCAGAAAAAAAGTACCTATTACCAAAAAAATGAAAAAATAACAAATACTGAAGAGGCTGCAGGGGAAAAAGGAATCCTACACTATTAGTGAGAGTACTAAGTAGTACTAAGCTGTACTTTAGTAGTACAGCAACTGTGGAAAGTAGCGTGGAGACTTTTCAAAAAACTAAAGCTAGAAATTCCCTTCAGCCCAGCTGTTTCCCTATTAAGTGTCTTCCCAAAATATTTAGAGACAGCATATTACAGTAATACATGCACACCCGTGTTTATAGTAGCACAATTCAAAATAAGTAAATCTTGGAAGTGGCCTGTATGTCCACCAGCAGATGAGTGCATAAAGAAAATGTGATGTTTATGCACAATACAGCAGTACTCTGCCATAAAGGGGGAAAAAAAACCTGATTGGTAGGAAGATAGATGTATCATGAGACCATCAGACATACAAGCTTAAATTTTGCCTGATTTTTCATATGTGAGAAGTTCTGAGTAGAAATAACAAAAATGAGAGACAGTAGGTAGGAAGAGCTTTCTCAAAGAGTAATGGACTTGAGATGGTAGGAAAGGAAAGGGTGTGGAAAAAAGAAATAGAGATGTGCTACATACCAAAGAAGAAGGGATCAAAAGATAGGTAGAGGGGAAGAGGGGAAAGGGGAAAAAGAAAGGAATTAAGATGTGTTCTGTATGTGTACCAGCTTCCCACAAGCATTATAAACCTGTACTAAACACATATTAATAAAATAAAGAACTCAAAATCTTTAACTTTAGAAATTACCTCCCATACAAGTCTCATTTTTGTTACCTGTGTAACATTTATTCTTGGTTGGATCTTATTCCTCATCGTATATGCACACCCATAGGTGCTGTAGAGATTTGACCTTGAAACAGTTCACCCAGAAAGAGGGAGAATGTACAGTTGATGTTTTTACTTGTTTTTTCTCAGCGACTCTCTGGCCAGGGGTACTGCTTTTCAGCATCTTTACCTCCCCTGTTAGCTGCTGCTGCCATTGAGGCCCTCAACATCATGGAAGAGAATCCAGGTATTACATTTAAACTCAGGTTATGTTAACTGTGTTCTTCACTTACATGTTGGAGGCATTAGCCAAAAGAAATTATTTACCATACAAAACTCTGGCTCTGAATTACAAATTCGTCTTCCCCAATCCAAAAAGCCAAAGTCCAAAGTGCTCCAAAATCTTAAACTTTCTTGGGCATATACACATTTCAGATTTTAGATTTTCAGATTACAGAAGCTCAGCCTTACTGTAAGGTCTGTACAAGTGTATCACATCAAACTCTCAAATCCAAAATGTTCCTGGTCCCCAGCATTTCAGATAACGGGCACTCACCTATGTGTGGCATTGATGGGAACAGTGACAGTGAAGAAACTGCCTTGCCTACCTTGCAGGCAGGGGCCAGAGCTTTGTCCTGTGCTCAGAGTTGGCTGCTTCAGCAGGCAGAGGTGCTCTGACGGGGAGGGACAAGGAGTACTGGCCCTGTAACACTTTTCCTCATGCAAACAGCCAGTTGTTTGATTTTCTGGATAATTACCTAAAGGAGTATGCTTTTTGGTTTGTGTAATTTTGTAAATGTTAGCTTTCCCCTTCAGCCTTTGAGTCATCAACTGATACTAAGCTAAGCCCAGTTTATCAGCACCAACTTAGTGGGCAAAAAGAAAGTCAATGTGGTGTTTGGCTGTGGCATTACTGCCTTAAAAGGGTCACACAAAGGAGGAGGAGCAGATCTTACCTGGTATTCCTGAATCCGTAGCACTGTTACTAATTCAGAGAATCAGAAGAGCTGATGGTGTTCCTGTGCTATACTCAGGTTCTTGCTGTGGGGTAGCCTGGCACCTCTGTCTCCTATTCAAGAGAAATTCCTTTTATTCAAGAAAAATTCAAGCAAAAAGTATCAAAAAAATTACTTTGCTCCAATTGATTTTCTTATTTAAAATAAAAACTAAATAGTAGATATCTACCCTTTCATCCTTAATATCTGTAAAATCTTGGTAAGAATAATGGGCATTATTTTTTTGGAAACCACAATTCTAGATTTTGCTGAAAACAGGGTGGCAAGGTGAGAAGAGGCCAGTGCAGTGCTAAAGATGAAGCCTGGGTCCAGGAGGAGTATGAGTTACTGGCTGGCTGATAGTTTGTATTAAGCTTTGCTGCATTTTAAGTTGATAAACTTGAACTGGGCCACCATAGATATTCTTAGGTTAGTACTGTCAAATGTTCCAAATGTACTATCAAATGTATCCTTTTCCATCCAGACATTTTTGCAGTATTGAAGAAAAAGTGCCAACAGATTCATAAAGCTTTACAAGGGTAAGTGTTAATTTTCAACCAGTAGGAAATGTATCAGTACCACGCTTAACTAAGTGAAAGTTTAAATTTGAAAGGCTTGGATTTTTTTAAATCACCTGGCAGCTAAGAGACCAAATACTCAGTCCACTCAACTTTCCTTTTGTAAAATCAGTGTACCTGTTTGGTAATGGTTTTAAAGAAGCATGCCTTTGTTTTTCTAAAAGTTAACTTACTCATAAAATATTGTTAACAACATAACAGTAACTACCCAACATCTTCCCACAAGAAATTACCAGGGTAAACATTAGAACAGTTCCTCACATCACTACAGGTACAAGGCTATAATTAGATGCCAAGTGATGGGATGGCATGGTTTCCTCACTACTACCTGTGTTACTTTTTAGTAAATTAAGGTTTCAGTTGAGACATGTAAATGGGTGGAATTGAAGTGAATCTCACAAGTGTTTCTTTAAAAAAAATTACAGAGGAGTATTTCTTTAAGATTCTTCTAGAGCCGAAAAAAGATAGAAGTTGGTAATATCTTCAGGCCAATTTCTAGTCTATTAGTAAATAATCTCACATTGCCTTGAAACATTTAGTTTTTGCCTTTAAGATGAAACAGGCCTCTTTAGTGTTGGAAATTCCACCTTCATTGCAAGATAAGGGAAGAAAAGGGTAGTCAGTAAATGGGTAAAGTACAGTTGTTACAGAAGAAGGAAGGATGGAGACAGTTACAGCTCCTAGGTATGTTTACACTGTAGGAACAGAAGTTCTTGCATGATTTAGGGTAGAGGATGGACTTGTATTGGTTTGTGAAATATGAATATGCCAACTCGTTGTACATTCATCACCCTCAGGTGCCCTTTTGAAGTCCAGGCCTGTACCATGCTATTTCTGACACTTTTCTTCTAGAATCTCTAGCCCTGTCTTTTCTCCATCCATCTTTGGCAGACAGCCTCATTTCATTCTGTCACTTGAGAATTCCTGCATTTTTCCTAACAAATCTGCAAAACTATGGAAAGCTGAACCAGCCTTCCCTTTGGTAGCCAAGAAAATTGTGTAGCCATCATTATCAGAAGCTCCTCTTCCTAAGGACTGAGCACCTTTGCTTGTACCCTTTGCTTGGTCACTAGACCCTCCCCTTTCCTAGTCTTTCTAGTAGCATGCAGATCCTCTCTACCCACTCTTCTTTAATCGACACGCTCGTGATCCACATTCCTTTCCAGCAACAACCCCATTTCTTTGTTTCTGTTTGTAGCACATCCTTTTCAAGAATCGTGTATGCTTTCTCCACACCCTCATGTCTCCCATTAGGACTTACTGAGCTCTGTCTTCTGTACACTTCACCCAGATTGCTGTGTGGAGGTCCTCAGTGAGCCCCCTGGTGCTGACTCTAGTTCTTATCACTAATGTCTTAATGTTTACTAATGTCTGTGTCTTCAGCACAGGTGGCTACTCTTTCCCTCTTTTTTACCACACCAAATTTGTGGGTTTCTTTATATATCTTTAAATTATTTACCTTTGTCTCTTTCCTATTACCTTCTTGGGAAATTGCCTTCTTCTACACCTCAGTAGCTCCCTTTGCAGGACCAAACAAGTACTTTCATGTTAAATACACTGAAGAATTGTGGAACAATAGGATCACAGATAAAGCAGCAGGAAGATCAGTGTGACAGGAGAGACAAGAGGGGAACCTAGTAGAAGGTGAGGGTCAGGTAACTGGTGTGTAAGCTGTAGCAGGGGCTTCAGGTCAGAAAGGAAGCCATGGCTTGGGATTAGAAAGGTGGGATAGCACAGCTGGCTTTAAGTCTCAGTAAGATTACTTTGTGTGGTGTGAGATGATACATTGTACAGCAGTAAATACAGAATTAAGGAGTCTAGAGAGATGGATGCAGACAAAAGATGATGATAAATTTGACCTTTATAATAGCAGTGGGAACTGTTTACATTCTGGATGTATTTTGAAGGGAGAGCCAGCTAGGTCTGCCAGAAGTTCCAATAGAGGGTGAAAGTTTCTGTGCAGACTCAAGGTTGATCTTGGATTTTGATCTGAGTGACTAGGTTGAGCAGCTAGTGAGGGAATGGATACAGCTGAAGAAGAGCCCGGAGGTGAGGAAGTCAGTGCTGGCTGTGCCAAGCTGGACATGCCCAATTGAACATCAAGGGCGGTTGCAGCTGTGGAATGCAGAGGTGTAAGTTTGAGAAAAGTCCGGCACTAGAGATAAATTTTTAAAGCATTAGCTAACTTGATTACTTTTTTCTTGTTTCTAGGACAAAATTAAGGAAAGAAAGGTTTATTTAGCTCACATTTTGTAGAAGTTTCAGTCCATACTCAGCTGGCTCTAAGGCAGGATGGCATGACACTGGGGCAACCCTTCAAGGTGGCAGAGGCTACCAAAAAGAGTAAAAACAAAAATGGGGAAAGCAAGCTTCCTTTCCTCCCTGCTTGCATTGTAAGCAGGCTTCCCACCTAGGGCGGGGTAGCATTCATACCACCTGCACCTTCCTCTTGCATAGGCTGAAGATGTCTGCTGGGTCACTTAGTGAAACTGACCCTCTCAAGTTGACACAAGGAACAACATCCTGGAGCAATAACTGCTTGTCCTTTACACTTAAGAATGAAGAGCTGCTGAGTTACTTAGTTAAACTTCTAGACTTAAGTTGACACTATGTATTAACTGTAACATTAGTAGTAGATTGTATTTAAAGCATTTTCATGCCAGTCAAGAACCAACCAAAGAAACAGGAGTGGCAAATAAAGAAGAGGCAGATTAGAAGAGTCCTGGATGTGGATGAACACAGTGCGTGCTGTACTGCTTCCTGTGGGCCAGGCATGGTAACCAGATGTGCTGCTTTTGATTCAAAATGTGGAAATTATTGTGACTTGAGCACTCCCAAGGTATCAGGAGGGGCACAGTGCCTGGCTGAAGTGGGCTTGAGAGAACCTGGCAAGAGAGAAATTGGGCACAGCTTAGGTAATTCTTAGAAGAGAGAAGCAGGGTGGTAGCTGGAGGAAGAAACTGAGGTCAAGAAAAAAGTGAGGTCAGTTTTCAGACACCATCCGTAAGCCGCATCCTCTCTTCTGCTGGCTGGTCAGGCCATCTCCTCTGTGTGCCTCTTTCTCATTTGTGCATGAGCATGTTTGTGAACCATCTTTTCCATCTCATCTGTGTTGATATTAGTTGTGAAATCCCCCACTCCTCTGTTGCTGTGTTTGCTTTTATGTCTGTGTTGGTTTTGAAAATACATACAGGTTCCTCCAAAATTGTTACTAATTGGAATTCCATTAAATTCTCTTATCAATTTATTAATGTGGAGGGAATTGTCACTCATAAACATAATCTCTACTGTAACTTTCTTTTGTAGTTGTTTGTTTGTGTGGTGATGCTGGGAATCCAACTCACTGACTCATGTATAATAGGCAGTGACTCTGTAGATTGAGCTACATCCTAGCTCCTCCTTTGTAGAATTTAGATATTTCCTTTGTGTGCCCTGTGCCTTTTTGGAGCCTTCGGAGGAAATTTCTTGAGGTCCTAACAGTTTAGTTGCCATTGCAAATGGGGTTGAGTTTTATATTTTCTACTTGGCTGTTGGTGATTTGTAAAAATTTCTTTAAACTGACCTGATATCCAGCTCTTATTAATTCCAGTAGTTTGTTCTATTTGTTTGTCAATGATGTGTGAAGAAGTCCAACAGCAGTAATGGTTTTCTGTCTTCTCAGTTCATTTACGTATGTGTATATATATTTTTTTCTTTGATTGCTTTGTTGTGGCTCTCTAACACAGTACTGAGCCATGGCAGTAATAACAGACACTTATTCTCAGTAGAGAAGCATTTCTTCATTATGTATAAAATACAAGTTTTTGGTCAGTTACCATTATCAAATTATTCCTAGGTTTGAGGCTTTTTACTTTTAATCATAAGTGAATTTTGAACTGGATGAAATACTTTTCAGATTAAGATAGTAGATTTGTCTCATGGCTCAAATGTATGGATGTTGCCATTGTTAAACTATTGTCCTCTTCCTGAGAAAGGCCCTCCTTGACTAACAATGTATTTTCCTACAGTTAGACTTAGTTAGCTAACATTTTAATTTGAATTTTTACATTTTTGCTTATGATTTAAGTGAGCCTATAATGTTTTACTATGATATTTAGCTTCAACTCATGGTTTGTCCGTTTTTCCACGTTTTCTTTTTTTTATAGTACTGAAAATTGAACTCAAAACTTTTGCATTGCATCAGCCATTTTTTATTTTAAAACAGGGTCTTGCTAAGTCTCTTGAGATCACCAAGCTGGGCTTGAACTCCCAACTCAGCGTCCTAGAGTGCTGGGATGACAGGCATGTGCCACTCTCCCTGGTTTCTTTTCTACACTCTGCTTCAGGGAGCCACTGAGTAAGGCATGGCTTGATAGTTTCTTCAGATTTAACTGGCCCTCCACCCTTTAAAGGTATCTAGGCCTAAGATGCCTGAGGTTGGGAATAGTCTATGTTCATCTCTCATGTTTTTGTTTCCCCTCTTTATTTTCTTTTATATTCCATGTTTTCTGTTTTTAGGATAATCTTTCCAGGATTTTCCTTAGAACTTTCCTTAGGTATACATGCATATATTTTTACATTTTATATGCTATATGTAAATATAGTATATTATCAATATGTCGTATTTATATTTTGAGATATGTGTGTATTTTTATATACTCTATAGTTTTTTTGCTTTGTGGTTCTTACTCTTCTTCCTCTTACTGCTTTTATTTTGTACTTTCCCATAAATACATTACATTTAAACATTTTCACAAATGGTGCCTTCAGTGTTCAGTTTTGAATAGTTTTCTTTTAATTTCTATAGTCAGGGATTTACTTCTCCTATCACCAAGTTGATACCAAGTTTGGGAACATCAACAGTCGATGCTTCTATGTCTAGATGTCAGAATCCTGCAGTCCCCATCTTGTCACTAAGTAGTGGCTGCTGTCATGCTGCCCTCTACACAGTAAAGGCCATGTTGCCTTGCTTGAATAAAATG